CCACAAGGTGAATGTGATTGAGGAACAGGTCAATCTATCTTCTCTCCTTCAGACCAATCACCTAACAAATTAAGGCGAACATTCCATCCGACCTGGGAGTCACCAGGCCGGGCCAAACGACCTGGAATCCAAATTGGAGTGCCCGCGTCCTGTTGTGAGCATGTCCTTCTTTCCTTTGTCCTGCGTTCCTAGGAAGAGACATAGACATTCCTTCCCCCACACAAGGACCAAATCTAGTCTTTGTTAGATAAAAGTGTCCATTATAAAGACGTTGTAAAGAATTTTAAACTGTGAAAATTAGAAATCTTAAAATTTGAAAAATGGATTTAGTTAAACAAGGAATACCTATAGTCTCCCCCTTTTTGTTTTATTTTTGAGAGATTGATGGGTATTGTTGACTGACCCCAAAAATTAAAAAAAATACTTACAGTTGACTATATATATAAACAGAATTATTAACAATTGTAGAGAGGACCTAAGATCTTATACTTGGTTTTATAACTTTAAGAGGCTGCAATAAGGAGTGGGGGGGCTGCCGTTTGGGTTTAAAAGTGTCTCTTTTTTTTTTTTTAAGTTAAAGTGCCTCTCCTTTTTTTTGTTAGTTATCTCAGTCTGAAGCGGAGGCTGTTTACATTCAAGACTATCTATAAGACCTTGAAAGTTACTGAGAGTTAGAGAAATCTTGGGGAGGAGTGGAGGGAGTTATACTTTCAGTTTTCTCCGGCTCCGCGGCGGTATTTTTTTCTTTATAATTTATTTTCGACTCCTCCTTGGCCATCAGGCCGCTCAATGACTGGATAAGCCATAAATTCTGATACATCTTCTCCCTGTAAATATGCTTGCTGAATTGAGGTCTGAAGCCTCGGCTGTCTTTTTTATTTCTGCCCAGTAGACATAACCACTGGGGCAACGACAGCTCCCTCTAATTTTCTGTATGAGGGTTTATCTAACATATCCTCATTCCAAATGTCCATTTCAGCCATTTTTCATTTTATTTCTCTCACTTGAGCCGCTAAAGGAACATGAGCAGACGGTGGTGGAGGCCGAGGGGATTTGCTTTCAGTTTTAGGCTGTTCTAGGTTACTTTTAATTTTGGGTGAATCTTGTTTTAAATTTTCCTGAGCTAGAAACAACCGAGGATTATCAAAATCAGAGTCATGATATCTATCTGCTTCTTCCTCTAAGTCTTCCTCATCCNTCAGCCATTTTTCATTTTATTTCTCTCACTTGAGCCGCTAAAGGAACATGAGCAGACGGTGGTGGAGGCCGAGGGGATTTGCTTTCAGTTTTAGGCTGTTCTAGGTTACTTTTAATTTTGGGTGAATCTTGTTTTAAATTTTCCTGAGCTAGAAACAACCGAGGATTATCAAAATCAGAGTCATGATATCTATCTGCTTCTTCCTCTAAGTCTTCCTCATCCGGGGGGTCCAGCTCTTCATCTTCCTCATCGGGGGCAACTTTCCCAGAGAGCTGGATCGAGGGGATAGGCGCGGGAGCAGCGGTCGGGGCTACAGGGTCGGGTTGCGATCCCGACTCTTCCTCTAAATTTACTCTTTCCCCTGTATCCTCCTCCTGGTTCCGCATACCCTCATGGCATGGGTCCAAGCTATCTCTAATTAAGGTCCATAAGGCAAAAGTATCCACTGGAATCTTTCCAGGTCCATGGCTTTCAAAGTGACCTTGGAATCGGACCCACACTTCTTCCCATGTTTTTAAGCTTATGGTTCCGTCTTCTGGGAACCAGGGACAAATTTTCTCTACAAAATCTAGAAACGTTTCTAATTGGGGCTTTCCTACCTTTGCTCCCCTGGCTTTGAGGAGGTTCAGTAGGAGATGGGTGTACAATTGTTTACCATTTCCTGCTATCTTTAACTATCTCTCCCGGTCTTTTCTCACCGCTCACCACTTACCCGTGTACACGCTTTTTTCCGCGGTGACCTTCACCTGATCCCCAGTACTCAGGTCCCTGTTCGGGCGCCAAATCTGCCGGGGTCCTGCCTCGGCATTCCAGAGAACAGTACCTGAAGTGGGGGGGCGAGGTTTAAGGAAATAAAGAGACAAAGAAACAAAGAGGGTCCGGGAGGACTGGAAGCATTCTT